ATTCAGGCCCCCCCCCCCCCCCCCTTTTTTTTTTCCAATGGAAGGAGGGTTTGTACAGAACACAGAAGGTCCTAATTCCTACAGAGCCCAATTCTAAAATGTTTTTTCAGGCTCCCTCTATGATCACTACCTTAGTTTTCATAGAATCATAGAATGTCCTGACTTGGAAGGGACCCACAAGGATCACAGAGTCCAGCTCCTGTCCCTGCATAGGACAACCCCAAAATTCACACCATATGTCTGAGGGCGTTGTCCAAATGCTTCTTCAATAGTGTCAGGCTTGGCACTGTGACGACCTCCCGGGGGAGCCCGTTCCAGTGCTCCACCACCCTCTGGGTCAAGAACCTTTTCCTAATGTCCAACCTAAACCTCCCCTGGCATATCTTCCTGCTGTTCCCTCCGGTTCTATCATTGGTCACCAGGGAGAAGAGATCAGTGCCTGCCCCTCCTCTTCCCCTTGTGAGGAAGCTGTAGATCACGATGAGGTCTCCCCTCAGTCTCCTCTTCTCCAGGCTGAACAGACCAAGTGACTTCAGCTGCTCCTCGTACGGCTTCCCCTCTAAACCCTTCACCATCTTCGTGGCTCTCCTCTGGACACCCTCTAGTAGCTTTGTATCCTTTTTGTACTGTGGCGCCCAAAACTGTACACAGCACTCAAGATGAGGTCACACCAGTGCAGAGCAGAGTGGGACAATCACCTCGCTCCACCGGCTAGCAATACAGTGCTTGATGCACCCCAGGACACGGTTGGCCCTCCTGGCTGCCAGGGCACACTGTTGGCTCATGTTCAACTTGCCGTCGACCAGAACCCCCAGATCCCTCTCCATGGGGCTGCTCTCCAGCCTCTTGTTCCCCAGGCTGTATGTACATTCAGGGTTGCCAGTTTTAACTCACCAAGGAACACAAGGTCATCACTGTACTGAGCACTCACATTATTTTCCACAATGACTCTAAACCCACCTCTTAGTCACTTCTTTCCAAAATGTCATTCAGCAGTCATACCCTATTATTTTCTTACGAAGACTTTTTAAAAATAAATATAAGAATGCCAGTGGCTTTTAAACAAATGTTTGATACAAATTTACCTGTACTATAAACACTGTACCAACTCAGTTATTTTTATAAATCAAAAAAATCAACGCTTTTTAAACTTGTACCATCCCCTCCCTCCATTTTCCCCAAAAGGCAACACAGTTATCTACTACCTACAAAAATCACACTAACCAGCGTTAGTTACAACTTTAGTCTATTTTTTTTTTTACTGAAGAGTGTACCAAACAAAGCATTCTGTTATACCTGGTGGGAGTGAAGCAAGGCTAACCTGTCTTCATCATACCTTTTGCTGTGATTAGACTCTGAAATAGTAGTTCTATTCTTTGGAATTCACGTAGTTTCCCAATTTTTATTAAAAATGAACACTAGTAGAGAAGAAAGCATTGCATTTTCACTGAAGTTCTTAGACTCAAGTTAGCTAGGCCATTTATCTGAAAATGCTTCATTTTAAAAGATGCTGCCCAACTTCACATTTTTCAATAGGTGTGAACTTTTTATTCCACTCTTCCACAGACAGAACATAAATACTGACTGAATAATTTTTCGTTTTCTATATAATGATTTTATCATCTTAATATAGCACATGACAATATATAACCTACCTCGGGGGTGGTCCCCCTCCTTTGTAATCTAAACTGTTTAATAAATGCCTACTTGCTTACTTTAAGCATCATGGTAATATCATCAACATTTCATTGACTCCTTTTGCCTTTCTTGTTGGTATCCATATTTTAATTTGACACATTCTTAGCCATATTCTTTTTCTTTTTCACTGATTTCATATTTCTTTTAAACCAGAATGTTTCCTTCCCACTGTGACTTTATTCCACATGCAATTTGGATGTCCCTGAACAATTCTTATATTTTGATAACACTTCATTCTGGTTTTAATTTTCCCATTCAGTTATACAAATTAAATGAAATGCTGCATCCAGAGGGTAATGGTCAATGGCTCAACGTCCAGATGGAGATCAGTGATGAGTGGTGTCCCTCACGGGCCCGTATTGGGACCAGTACTGTTGAATATCTTCATCAATAACACAGACAGCAGGATAGAGTGCACCCTCAGCAAGTTTGCAGATGACACCAAACTTGAGTCGTGCAGTGGAAACGCCTGAGGGATGGCATGCCATGCAGAGGGACTTCGACAAGCTTGAGAAGTGGGCCATTGTGAACTTCAGGAGGTTCAACAAGGACAAGTGCAACGTCCTGCACCTGGGTCGGGGCAATCCCCGGTATCAATAGAGGCTGGGGGATGAAGGGATTGAGAGCAGCCCTGAGGAGCAGGACTTGTGGGTACTGGTGGATGAAAAGCTGGACATGAGCCAACAATGTGTGCTCGCAGCCCAGAAAGCCAACCATCTCCTGGGCTGCATCAAAAGCAGCGTGGCCAGCAGGGCGAGGGAGGTGATTCTGCCCCTCTGCTCTGCTCTGGTGAGACCCCACCTGGAATACTGCGTCCAGCTGTGGGGTCCTCAGCACAGGAAAGACATGGGCCTGTCAGAGCGGGTCCAGAGGAGGGCCACAAAAATGATCAGAGGGATGAAACACCTCTGCTATGAGGAAAGGCTGAAAGAGCTGGGGCTGTTCTGCCTGGAGAAGAGAAGGCTGTGGGGAGACCTTATTGCGGCCTTTCAATACTTAAAGGGGGCTTCTAAGAAAGATGGGGACAGGCTTTTTAGCAGGGCCTGTTGCAATAGGACAAGGGGTAATGGTTTTAAACTAAAAGCAGGCAGATTTTGACTAGATGTAAGGAAGAAATTTTTTACGATGAGGGTGGTGAAACACTGGAACAGGTTGCCCAGAGAGGTGGTAGATGCCCCATCCCTGGAAACATTTAAGCTCAGGTTGGATGGGGCTCTGAGCAACCTGATCTAGTTGAAGATGTCCCTGCTTATTGCAGGGGAGTTAG